ACGTAGAACAGAAATGGAGGGAAACGGAAGGGACGAGGGAAGGGGGAGCCGAGGTTGCGGGGGAGTCCGTTGTCAATATAAAATAATATTTATAAAATGGCATATAAAAAGGTAGCAGAGAGAGCTGGAGGAGCAGCAGGAGCAGTAGCTGATGAGCCAAAAGGCCGTGCAATGAAGGGGACGAGATAAGTGTCTTAGAGATCCGAGCATAGCAGCTGCGCGATGGATCGACGGATTGCAACGCTGTAGACGTTATGTGCAGCATTCATTGAGGCTTTTGGAACAGAAATAAATTGCTTTTTCTCTCTGCTCTGCCTTGTTTTACCCCTTCTCTCTCTCCATTTTGAAAAATCCCATGGATTTCCTTCCACCTCACCGCATTCCCCCTTGAGATATTTTTCTACTGCGGGACGGGCCGACCCGAACTGAACTCTCGCCACAGCCTGCCCACCATCTCTCCTCATGTCCATGAATTGCTTCCGACTATCTGCCTACGAGACGAAGTACCAGGCCCCTGGCACGGCCGGGTATCGCGTACTCGGAAGATGCCGTCCATGTCCCAGCTGACCTGCACACCACACCGCATCGCATCACAGCGCAGCAGATCACTCCCTGGGGGCAGGGACTAGTTCCAAGCGCAGAGCCTCAGAGGCGAGGAGAGGAGAGGAGAGGAGGGGCGCTGGCTGGGTGCTGGACATGCAGTGCTGGCTCACTCGCTGGACCGATTGGCTTGGCTGCCTTTACACTGCACATGATGCTGCGGTCCTATGATTCATTTCCTTCTTTCTCTCTATCCTCCTTTGCACTGTTCATGAGACCGGGACTCGCTCACGATGGATCGATCATACATGAGACCTTCTCGTCGCCAACGGAAGGTCATAAAACACTCATGCGCTGTAGGTGGGTGCTGGGCGAAATGAAATAAAATTCCGAAAGGAGACAAATTTCCACCATCTTTTGCCGATTGCAAGAGGCCAGGGCCCATCCATCACCGACACTTCCAATTTGTGAAGCTAGGAGACTTTTGGCTGTCCAATGGAAGTTGTCTGCGACTCTAGCAATTGGTAGACGCGTCAAAATTCGACAACAGCTAGAAACAAACAGACAAAGAATCGAGACAAGCTTTGCGAAGCGAGTTGAGAGGAGATAGTCCATACTGTCCAGCCCTATTTCCTGTTTGGACTTCTGTTTTGTCCAATTCATATTTATGGTCATGACTCCAGGAATGGAGTTGTGATCCTGGCCCCACTCCGCGAGCTTTCTCCAACAACCCTTTCAATTCTGAAACCTCATGTTCCATGCATTCACAGAAAGACAATTTTTAGTCGGATGAAGTCATTAGCATCGTCCAGTCACTTTCACTGATGTTTCATTCTACAAACTCGGTGGGAGTTCACTCTCTACTTCCTTCGCTTCAAGCTCACCAGATCGAACGACCCAAAATCATTTCCAAGTTCGATCTCGAAATCCAATCTCTCAAGTTGATCCTCTTTATAGATCATGCGCACAGATTTGGACGTCCAGTCTTTCCCACTTTCCATTCTTATTCATTGCATGTGCCTAGGATTTTCCACGTTCCCTTCTACAAAGTGTTGCGTGGATTTTATTTCTCGCATGGCGATTCTCCTTCCTCGCCTTGCAGGCAGATGGATACTGCGGTCGAAGCATAAGAAATCGGTGGATTCGACTCGCCTGAATAAATTACTTTTCTTTTGCTTCGGTGCTCAGCACCTTTTATCCAAATCAATCCGGTTTGGCATCTGCGCCGCTTCCTCTTGCTAAATCTCTGCTGCCCTTCTTCTTCATTCTACACCGTTGCTTTGGACATGCGATCTAGTGCGACTGTCGCGGCCAGCGATTATAGACCTCAACATTTTTGTCTTCTTTTCATTTCATGTACCAATGCATGGCGACTCTTTGATTTGTTCTTTGACTTGAATCATTCTTTCACGGAAAAGCAATATAATCTCACTTCGTTCGATTCCATCATTGTGATAATCCATTCCGTGTGGAGGTAGTTTTGAAATTGGATTTATCGTCACGATGACCACTCTTCAACTAGAGAATGAGGGGAGACACAGCTGTCCGTGGGTGATCTCATGGTTTAGGTGGGTAGTGAAGGAAAAATAGCGATCGACATGTATAGTGGGGACATTGGGTACACTCACAATTCAATGTAATACGATGGTATAACCAAAGGCGAGCAGAGATAGAGTTAAACGCGTCAGGATTAGGAACATATTACCCAGTAAAAGTCCATAATTTAATTGAACTCCTCATTCAGATGTATCACCCCTTACAACTCGAAAATTTTGAAAATATATGGTATTATACATGCATTTTTACAGGCAATTTGCAAGAAAAAGTCTCAAGATTGTGAAAGAGTAACTTTTTTTATTGGATTTATTCCTCAATCCAAGTTAGAATATTTGTTGGGCACTGACTAGTATGGTCAGTTGATTTCTCAACAGTAACAAAGACCGGTGGTCAAGAAAATTTAGATTTTGAGATTATGCAACTCTTGATCAGGAAGCTTGAGCTAAACTCACGAACTGACTAAGTTTCCATAAATAAAATAATCCAAAATTTGGACCTGCTATCTTTAAAAAATACATCGTAAAACATCTTGTAGTCCTAGTATATATTGGGAGCCAAGTAGATAGCGAAAAAAATTGAGAAGACACCGTCAAGCCCTACTAGGAATAATATGCTAGACACGAAAGAAACTCAGTTGAAACTTCCAACTCATTTCAGTTTCAGTTCTCCTCCTCCATAAAATTGTATGTCTTCAGTCAATAATGCACTTCGGATCAAATATTTGAACAATTCTAGGTATCTTATTTCACAACACATAGGTTAATGACTACAGACTGATGTATGTCTTCATACAGTTTTCTCCATATGTGCAGACTGGTAGTCTGGCTCAATTCTCCATTGTATGGGTCCAGGTTCCCTAGTTAAAATCATGAACACATAATATCTAAGGATAAGCCATGTAAAATAAAGAAAAATTAAGCAATTAATATGTGACTTAGTTATTGTCTTCTCTTGAAGATGATACGAATAGAAGATAATACAATTTCTACTGAAGTTTGCTTTCTAGTGTTGAGTAAGGATCAAGTAGTATCTCTCTTTTGAGATGCTTGAATTATATAGCACCTAGAAGACAGAAGGCATTGAAATTTTAATGTCTTAGAAGAAAACGGGAGTCCCACCCATAGATAATTTAACCTTAAAAAAAACCTCACGCGCAAGGTGCTATATGGGGAAAACAAAGTAGGTAAAAAGAATGGATTGATGGGGATTAAGGAATTAACTGAAGGATCTTACCTCATTTTGGTATTCCTTTTTTGTTTGGATTGCCAAACATTTTGGCCCTCTTAATGCTCCAAAACACAAATCGCCGACTCTTTAGATGTACAATGCACCCCGGAGTTTGGATGTGCACGTAAAAGTGCTGGTCTACTGAAAGTCACACTCAAGGCGACAAAGGAGAAAATCACATTAAGTCGAATATATACAACACACTTCAGATGATAAGTAAGTGTCTACATCGAAGGAACTGGCAGGTCATTATTATTGATCAAATTAATTACACAACAGTGAGAGAAGATGTCTTCGAGTTATAACATCTCATGTTGATAAAGAAATATTCAATCGAGGCTGATGCGGTACAAGCATATGCTTGGGTCATGAGATTCTCGCTTGAATTTGATAAATAATGCTGATTACAGTCAATAAATTCCGTAATAAAGCCTCGAGCCCACATGGTACTGTTGTAGGAGAGTAGTAATCCACACGCTTCGTTTATTTATTTGGAAACTGCCCTATCAAAACCCTATTGAGGTAATCTTAAAGTCAACTGATAAATGTCGTTCCTCATCTTGTTGCAAACAAAAAACTTCCGAGTAAAATATCGACACATGCGCATGAGGCTATTATCGTATAAAGATATGATAGAGTGGTTGTGTGCTACATAGACCTGTTGAACATTGGACTTGCTTGTTTCGTACACAAGCTTATGAACATATCTCTAATTCATACTTTCCCATGATATTCTCGTACGTCTCAGAGTCGACCTTCCAATCTCCGAGTAATGATCACGAGAGGGGGACACGCCAACGAAATTCTGAGCATTGCATGGAGTTTCCGAATGTTAAATCTGCTTAAGATACATATTCAGCTGAAAGGACAGATAATTGCATGTAATCGTCTTCATGGTCAGTTGATACTTTTTGACCAATTCGACCGGCTTTTATCTGCAGACTTACAACAAAATACATCAAACGCCCTTAAATTCCTTTTTTGATATAAATTTGAGTCCAATCTTTGGGTAGGCTGTAGGTTTTTACATATGCGCTTGAGTCAGCGTGAAAGGTGTCAGGCATTGTGCGTGTTGTTTCATTAACTCGCAAATTTCAAATTCCTTACTGCTCGAAACCCACTGTCATCATTTCCTATTCTCTGATCATGATTCACTAATTTCTGTCTCGAAAGTTTCTATTATCGGTAGGCGATGTAACAGCGAAAAGCTAATCCCATTGTTACGAAGAAGTGGTTTTACTGCTCGCCTCCACTGGCCAATTGACTCAGTTATTTAGCGAGGAACAATTTTGAGACGCGTATAATGGGCTTGTACAAAGGACCAGCAGCCGATCCATACACAAAGTTTTTGATGTGATTCTCGAGTCCACTATAATTGTCGAAACACGGCCGAAGCAGACAACTTGAAAAGCAATTCTGAACTGTCAAGAGCTTCAGACAGACATCACCCTACTCTGTTTGCGCATAGCCAAAACAAATCACATTAACGCGCCGCAACTCATGCAAGCAGGGTATGAAATTCTTTCTTCGGTCTATTACAACCATCTGAACCTGAATCTGAACGCGTGTGATATATAACCACACGACTTGGTAGATATCTCGCACGTTCAAGTTTTCCAGACAGCAGATATTCCATATCCAGCGTGCTACTACATCATGAACATATCACAAATGTGCGAGACGATCAAACAAGGACCACAAACATACCAGCAAAGAGTGAAGGACTATTTGTTCATTCATCGGCACCCATGCAAGAAATGAGTCTCATCTTGCGTACATAGTTCTCACCAGCACCGAATTGGCTAGACTCGTAGATGTTAAGACAGGCACAAACGTAATGCCTGGAGGAGTTCAGTTGCTGTAAAACGAAAAGCATCAGTGAGTGAGATTACTACTTGAACGCATATAGACGACGACCTCAGCGAAGGTTGAACTTTCTAGCTCTTCAGACAGAGTTATTCCGCATAAGCATGAACGAATAATATAAGACTGAGGCTCTGAGCACTGTAGCCTTCAAAAGTCAAACTCACCTGAGTGGTCTCCGCATCCTTAGGCATGCAGAAAAAGACATGATGCCTCTTTGGCACGAGACCGACCCTCACGTACTAACGTCGAAGCTTGTCGGCATACACGGGAAGACATTATTTCTTATCGATCCAGATCGCCTGAATTTCAGATATCCCTGTGGAACACACTCATCATCCGTAATCAGAATAACAGCTCCAACACGGTAACACTACATCGGCATCAACAATTTACTGGTATGACATGTACTGCCTTGACTGTAACGGATATATATAGAAGTTGAGCACCCTATTTCTGCGAAATGTAGTATCGCAGAACACATTGGAAGTCGTAATTACGAAACACGTACCTGAGAAATGAGCATCCGAGTTGAAAATGACGATCTGTTTAGTCTAGATGAGGTATACAAGAAGTGGGTGGTAATTTACAATATGAACTGAGATGAACTCAAACGTATGACACTTGAGACGCCATGAAGTGGGTGGTAATTTACAATCTGCATACGTAACCTGACATGAACTCAAACGTATGACACTTGAGACGCGATGCCACTGACTTGAGCTGTCCTTCATTCCAGTTTTCTGCTGACTATAACGTTGCGAAGCCCAGTTTAAGAAATCTACAACATTCAGTAAGAAAAAGTACACGTTTTATCATTAGAACTCAAATCTATTACTTCGAATTCCATGATAGAAAGCACCAGCTGGATGAATGAAAGACTGGAAACAATCTGACATGAAAATCTCAACGTTCGCTGGATTTGACATATCGTGTAATGCCAACAGAAAACTGGATGAATGATTGACTAAACCCCTAAGCACTGTAACGACTACCCAGAAATTAAAATTCCACAGCATGACAACACTGTTGTACTAAGCGATTCGCGAGACTTATGCAAGACTGATAATGGGGAACTTATTTAGGGCATACCATGACATACAGTTTTTTCATTCCTTAAAAAGTCGTCTCAGGACACGTCCATGAAAGTGGAGTGTGAGACTTGAACTGAACCAGAGCTAATGTTGCAAATTTCTATCATGCACAACTGCATTCAGTTATGTTGTTGCCAAATTTAGATAGTAATGTTTGCTGCTCACTGATTGAAAAGTTTCTTCTCAGAGTAAATAAACAGTCCTCTAGTGTCCAGTCAGGATTTTCACACTAAAAGCACGAGGAGAATTTGCATCCTACCTACTATGGATATCTGATTAATCTTACTCAAGGCAATTTACGGTGTCAAGCTAACAAGCCTTCACCACCTTTGTATCTACGGGCACGAAGAGTATGTGCTCTACGTACCTCGGCGCTAGGTAGATTGAGCAAGATGCCGGATTCGCTTGTGTAAGGAAATCCATAGTTTTTGATAAGTGATCATTGAACAGATTATAATTTAACAGTTCTCTTTTTGCAGCTCTTATATGTATTACCAAAGAAGCTTGTACAAGTCATCCACTCAGTATCTAAAAATACTAGAGGGTGATTCTAATTGAGTCGGCTCCTTCTTTCGTGGAAACCAGATCACAATCGATCTGTAGGACTTCAGACCTTCTAACAACAAGTGCAAGTCAGATAGAAATGACGTTGCGAGTTCTCGATCTCGTTCAGCTAAGGAGAAGAAATGCGTAGAGGAAAAGCTCCATGCTGCCAAGGCACGAACGATCGCCTGCCTGCAGCGGTGACATGACTGAGGTATGTTCATGAAGGTTCGTAAATCTGCAGACCTGGATAGCCCGCATGGTCCGGTCGGTATATACGTGTTGGAGAGATTTAGGAGAGATCGTGCGGCCAATTGCAATAGTCCTAACTGAAGTCTGCAGAAAGTGTTTCTCTCAAGTGCAGTGCTCTGAGAGAGAGAGAGAGAGAGAGAGAGAGAGAAAAGTAGACTTGACCCACAGTGGAAGTCAGAAAGCAAGAGTGTGCAAGGTCGAAGGAAGAAAACCACCAGACAAGAACTGATATAGTACGAACGAAAGATATAGCAGATGTGAGAGAAATTGCAGCGGAAGGGGTATATCTTACATTCAGAAACTCAAACTTGGTCGGATCCGATCCATGCCTTGGATTATGATGATGCCCGGGCCTGCAGCAGCCATCAGCACTCGGCACATGCTGGCAATTGGGTATGGAGTGCCCGTCCCTCTCCCCTCCCCTCCTCTCCTCTCCTTTCCTTAGCCATGGTATGGTTTGGCGGTGGGTGGTGGCTCTCTCTCCGCCGACATCGCTGGCTGGGGCTGGCAAGGTTGGGCGCCGAAGGCTGTGCTGTGCGTGCGGGCACGCATGGGTTGCGCCTCACGAGTTTCACGGGAGGGTCGGGTCGGTCGGGTCGGGACGGATTGGGGGTCGGTTCGAGTCTCTTGTTCGTGCGTGTTGCTCTCTCCTCTCTACTCACTCTTCATGGCCACAGTGGTCACGACTGACCGCAGTGGTGGTGGTGGTGGTGGTGCGTTTGGACAAGATCGTCAGCCACTCGATCGGCCGGCCCGACCCTCTATGCAGCGAGAGTTGCTTCATGTGCCAGCCTCGAGTTAGCGCTCGGACAACATAAAAATGGATTCATGCTCTCACGCACTATACGTCTCGCTCGGCGGTCCAGAGTCCCAGGCAGACTAGCATGAAGACAGACGGATAGATAGATGGGGCTCTGGAGAGCTGGCGAGCAATCCGATGTTGCATTCGCAGGCCAATTCGGCTCTCCTTCTTTCCTTTCCTTGCTTCGTTCTTTGTCTTTGGATCTGGCTCTCTCATTTGTTGTCCAAGCTCCAGGAGATAATTTAAAAATTCCTTCCAAATCTTTTCTCGGCCTCTCTCTTTCTTTGTTCGCCTCAAGTAAGTCGAAATTGTGCATGGACGGGATCCTTCGCAGTACTGTCAGCCGTCCAAACGCACCGGCTGCTTCTTCGAAATCTCCTGAAGGTACGAAAGAATAGTATGCATCGTTCGCTCGCTCTCGTGTCTGTGAGGGTGATCTTAGATTCTCGGGATTGTAAGTTGCCCTTCAGTTCCCTTATCGAGGACTGTACAGCGTAGTCCTGCCACTCCTCACTTACAGCTTACTGTTCACGAGCCCAGATCTCGGAAAGCGTGCATACTTTCTCCTTCTCCCTGCAGCGGCTCAGGCTGCCCAGCAGCTGCCCTTCTTCTTCTTCTTCTCGATACGGGGCCTGCGCCACCCTACAATTACTACTTTTCCTCACTTGTAGCCGGCCGGCTCAGAGTCCAGAGAGCGGAGTTACCACCTCCTCTCTCTTCCATGTTTCTGTACTGTACTGTACGTACTGTTGTACATGTAGGTACCAATGCATGTGCTGATGCTCGAAGCCTTGCCACAGTAGCCCTGTCCGCCCATCTTATCTGAGTGTCTAGCTTTCCAGAAACAAGCAGCCGAGGACTCGCAGCTGCCGTGCCATACGACAGGGCAGACGCCCACTGTACCACCGTCGTGTCTAGCTTTTCAGAACAGCGGCCACCATACGTATGCCGCAACTCGCATACCACCCGTCGCCCCGGCCTTACGTCCTGCTCTGCACTGTGGTGCTAGCTGGTCAGGGGCTTCTGCGCTGGTCTGCCTGCTCTGGGCCGCCCCGGCCCTTGCCTTCCTTCCCTGTAGTGGCTTATGACAACCCCTTGCTTTTACCACGAGATTCGTCGCCGGTCAGTCTGGACCGACCTCCCTCCCTCCCTCCCTCCCTCCCTCGTTGTCTCTCGCCAGCCCTCCCCATGATCCCATCAGCAGCACCGTATGGCTCCTAGCTAGGTGCCTCTTTTCCGGATTTTTTTTATATATTTTTGTTTTTTCCCCTCCCCCTCAGCTTTCCTTTCCTCTCTACTGTCTAAACTACAGTGAGCAATCGACGGACGTGATGGCAGGACCGAGTGAACCCGCTCCCCTCCCGCTTCCTGTCTCCTGTAATCTGATCCACCATGCGCTGTTGTACTGGGCACTCTCTCACATCTTCATTCGTCTCGCGTATTCTGTAATTTACTCCGAGACAGGTCCACGATATGTATTTTCTGCACTTTCTGTTCCTTTCCGGGCTACAGTGGTCGATCGACGGCAGATCCGAATAGATGCCCGCCTCTCCACATTCGTAGATCGATCTCTAATTACATCTTACGGTATGCCCGTAGACTGCATGTTGGAGCGGCGCATCCATCTTCGTCGATGACGCATGGACTTAAGTCTAGCATCGGTTAATTATGATCCCCCCTTCCCCACCATTTATAAGCTGTATCTCGTTTGGCGTTCTCTCTCTCATCTACTGTTGTACATTCTTCTTCCTTTGCGTACTTCCAGCCAATCGTGATCTGTCGTCGAATCCTTTCCACTCGGGAGTCAAGTACAGCCAGTCATGTATACTATACATCCGATCCTGTACGTGCCCAGACTTGTTTCATCTGTGACATCTTATTGTACTCGACTCCTTCCTTCTCAGCTGGAATCAGACACCAGCTGAGCTGCACTGCACATCACTCCTCTCCACTCCGATCTCGTCAGGCGATTGATAAGACACGCCAGCACCGATACCGTATCCTATCTAGACCTGACCGGAGCTCATCCTGGGGTTGTTCCATCGCCATTTCGATTCTTACGATTGCTTCAAAACTCCGATGAATTTATTGAACTGGAATTTCCCGACGGTGAAGAACATTTCGTGGAGTGGAGTAAAGTAAGTAGACTACGAGGACGAGCCACCTCGAAGCGAAACTGATTGGAACAGAACCTTGTGATCTTGTGTAAAGGCGCAACTCAGCGCATGCCTGTCAACAGTAGATGGATGTTTGGCTCGCCCGAAGAAGAATTTGAAGCAACTCCTGCCTGTTGGTGTTGCCAAGAAAACGGCCTTTCCAGCTTCCATATTGCGACGAATGTTTTTCTGGTATTATGGTATTATACAATCATCCAACAACCACCTCATTAATGATAGATAAAGGGCTACTCAACAAGTCACAGAAGTTTCTAAGTTTCCATGCATAGATCCTTCGTGTGTCTAACAAATTGGATCCAGTTCCTTGTGACCTACGCCTGGATCGAAAGCTGAATTCGGGTATTTAGGAGATTGCACTAGAAATTTTGTCTGTGGTATGTATGTGACAGTACGCCATGTGCATGCCATGATTAGCCTGTAATGAAGTAATGACTCCGTGTTAAATCACCAATAAAACATTTATAATTTCCCACAATCGAAGCACCAATGTTGTAAATGCCAAGAGGATTCTCTCGACAGCAAGCGAACTGGAGTTGTGTAATTGCATGTACTTTAATCCCAAGCTTTGGATTTGCCTCGGACGATATTCCAATATTCACGAAATTTTCTTCTGACAATTAATACATGACATTTGATTTTTTTGATTTTTTGACTGAAATTCACGAAGGCCTTGTTGATAAATTTTCGTCAAGCTCCCCATGGACGTCGGTGCGTAGTGCATTTCCACCGACTTATGTTGATTTGCACGCATGCCACATTCAGAGATGAATCACTGAATGCTAAACCACCTCTGTCAGTCAGAGAATTTTGAGTGTGTATAGTCCTCTTGGTTGTTCGAAGAACTATCAAAATGTGCTCTTTCCAAGCAAAGATGGAATTCAATCCGACGGAAGTCTCTTCACGTCACACGTAATAACCTCACTTATGGTCCTCATGTAACTAGATACTTGGCTTGGTACTCTGCAAATAAAATGAATATTGGGAGAAGAGAAACTTCAATAACCACAAATATCCGTTAGGCATGCCCTAACCTGAATGGACGAAAAGGAGTGCACTATCATCGAGAGCTTGCATGCCTCCTTAACAGGTATCAATGGTCTAGTCCATTAAAACTGAAGAGCCAGAGCACTTTCAAGATTAAAGTTCTGCATTGGAATCTCATGATTATGATGGAACTGATTGCGTGAGGATTATTACTTGAGAGATGAGCTGAGAAGGTGAGTTTCGTTACAATAAATATATGCATGACACCTTGTACTCGGTGTAATTTGGAATTGATGATAAGTATATTAATCATCCTTCCTGGTTATTTTATTTAAGTTGTTGTGGCCGTTAAGATCTACTGGTTTAAACGCAAAAAAATTGAAATTTTCGATTTTCGGCCCCGAATATATGTATAATTCCACAAACAAGCAAAATCTCCTTTGAATATATATAAGCAATATCACATTTGAATGCTAGATTAGTCTGTTATAAATTAACGTTTTAACTTAGACGGAGTTTGAAACCACCAATCAAAGTGAGAATATTTAAAACATAATCCTTTATGAAGTTATTTGTCTATCTGAAATATTTTCCTCTTTTATGATTGCAACTAAAAGGAACATGTAAATTTATAATTTATTACAACCAATTCATCTATCTGATCGTATAGAGTTATTTTCATATGCATAAAAGCTCCTTTGCCATCAATGTACTTGAATTCCTATTTAAACTTTCATGAAATATACTTCTTAACCAAATGAACTTCTTAATTTGTTTATATAATCACAATTTGTTTCGAAAACTATTTATACAATTGATTTAGCATTTATGTAAAAAATCTATAATTTATTTTTGATGATATTTCTAACTAATTAATTAATTTTTGAGCTGATTCCATACATGAGTGTTAGAATATCTGCGTGATGTATGAAATGATAATTTGATATTCACGTGAATATCAAATTTTTTACCATGTTTAAAATGGATTTATCATGTTTATTTCAAATATATACATATTGGAAAATTTAAACATATTAATTCTAAAAATAAAATTCATACCGATTCAATATGAGTTTCAGAAACATGGCTGTCAGAAAACCCATTTATTTGTGCCGTCCACGAGTAACGGAGGTCTCGGAGGGCTTTATGACAGCTTCTCCCAGGGCGGAACACGAAGAAAGACCGCTAAAAAAACTCAGCGAATTTCTTGATGATGGTGAAAAATATGTGATTATACTTTAAAAGATTTTCGATTACACAAAAAAATTCATTTCTATCATTCATTTCCATTTTTTACGTCAATGAAAACAAAGACTGGATGAAGATAGTTAAACTTACTAAAAAAATTCCATAGAAATAACACATATATTTTGTTCCAAATTTCAAACCGAGAATAGAGAAAAACGAAATTTGATAATGTTTCAATATATGAATTTACGTTTTTATATCAATATATTTTATTTCATAATAAAAATATAAAACGTATATATCTATCATATAACGTATCACAATGTTATACTTATCATGTTGAAACATTCGAACATCTTCATACAATTATAGACCAAAATGGCGTCACACTGTATGTAAGTATCATCTTCCATTGTACATTTATTTATTGAAAGATTTAAAAGAAAATTTCCACATTTATAATATTTGAAATATTTCAACGAAATCTAATTCAAAAAACTATATATATATATATATATATATATATATATTCATATTCATATACTTTTATACACGTCATTCATCATATTAACTCATTCCAATTTCGCAGATTATAAAAAAGCTATGACTCTTGAGTATGTTCAAACATTTAGTTGTATCATTGGAGTATAAGTTGTCTGTATATCACTCCAAGGTTTGACCATCATCACCAGATATACGACTTATAGATATGGCGGAGTACAAAAGGAGATCCGGATATATTGAATAGTGTCGATACCATCAGCTGACATTATTTCCAATCCTGGGGAAGTATATTTGAATTGCTTGTGGTGATGGCAATGAAGAGACTAGAGGGGACAGTGGTGGTTGGTACCGCATGTCCGGATAGAAACTAGCTTTTGTTACACAATCATTACCCTTTGGGAAACTGCGATACATTTGAAGGCGTCAAAGGTCAAAAGGCAGTGGACGTTGGTGCTGTAATATCAGCGACAAATCACCGAAGAGAGGGGGTGAACAAGAACAGTTTGTGTTGTGAGCCTAGAGACAAGGAAGTTAGATCGAATCGGCAAAAGTCACACTTAATACCAAAGGTGTACATTGACGTAGTAGATAGAAACATCTTAAGCGAAGACTTCAGATTAGCACGATGCAGACAAAAGCAAACACATCACTATTTTTGAGAGAAGCGATTGGCTCAACGTCGGTAAACCGTGAGATAGTTCTTACCACTGTTGACGACGGTTAACTCAATTTCCTCCAAACAAACGAGCGCAATTTGATCCAGACACGTAACGTCCGTAAACACCCTATCCTAATTCTAGCGCATTCAAGCAGTTAAAATAGTCATATACACATCCTACCTACTAAAGCAAGAGAAGCCATGGTGAAACAGAAAAACATCAGGAACAGTGAAAACACAATCAAGTAGTTGGTTAAATCTGTATACAATCTATAATTAATAGTACACGTACATGGTTCTCTATTACCAGGCTTTGCTACTCCACCGGCTTTAACGGTAATCTAAGCTTGCTGTCTGAAAACCAGATTAGTACACAGTGATCCTTGGACTCTTGCGGAAATGACAAGCCCATCGTTATAATCATCATCTCGAGAACTGTAACTCTTACTTAGAACAGAAGCTCCAAGTGAGCAGAATCATGGTGGAGTCCACACGACAGAAACCTGAGAAAAGGTAGGCCTGGATGGCTCCGAGCTCGAAGTATCAGCAGCCACGCATGCACAACCCATAGTTGGGCTGGTTCGAAACAAGGACACTGCTTCGATCTAGATCAACTTTGTCTGGTAACTGATGAGTGCAGGGTGAGTGGCGTGGGAGATAGAAGGTGGTTTTGAGACAGGTGTGTCTACCATACTAAGTCTATGATATAGTTGGCACACTACTATTGAGCAGAAAAAGCAGACAAAAGGTTCGAAACTTATGCGAGATTGCAGAGTGTTTAACGAGAAACTGAAGCAGAGTCGAGCACCAAGCAAGCATCGAGATGGAAGAGATGACTCGCTTGTGTAAGACACGATAACTGAGGCAACACATCACCAACTTTTGACTGTGTCTTGAGAAGGATTTGACCATGCCATAGAGCGGTTTTGCTCGAAGGAAAAACTTTCACTGAGGCAAATGAAAAGACGCAGAACTATGACGACTTGATAATTATCTGTGAGCGGGTTGACAATCTTGAGGTTGCAGTAGTACGAGTCTATGGAGAGAGAGATGGAAACTTGACGAAACAAGGAGTTCCTGCAGGGAGTAATGTAACCCACTGGAGAGGGGACTAAAAGAATCACCAACGTGGTGAAAGGTCTGCAGGTAAGGAAAGAACCTAGAGGATTACATGAACAGTTCCTGCTTTATCTGAAGCGTTTTACTATGGAGATCTATTAATTATGCCTGATTTACTTGATAGAAGTTCTCACCTCAATCGATTGAGAGATAACTTGGATAAACATGGACCTATTGGTTAAATAGACTATAACCCACCATAAATAAATTGGAAGATAAATCGAAGTATCGAGATGTTTGCAAGTAAGTACTAGCGGAGCGGTTGCTAACAATGCTAAAGGTAACCAGTTGCGGGTAAGTCAAGTATTGTGAGAGATGGACAATTTTTGCATGTATGTTACGCTTGTAGTAAAATAGTGCACTATCAAGACCAAGGCAGCATAAATGTGGCAAATATCGACTGAACATAGTGTCAAGGAATCAAATGCAAAACATGCAACAATACAAACATAGCATATATCGACCAGAGAGAGTACCAAGTGCAAAACACGCAATAATGAATTTGAGACTGTATAGTACCCTACTTCTTTCCTTGTGTGATCAAATGCTTGCCAATAATTGTGATGATTGTTCAAGTCCTCCAATTAAGTTGTGTGATCAGTTGAAAACTATGATACCTTGAACAGAAACAGTGATCTGAATAGCAAGCAGATTCATTCCAGTTATCTATGTTAGCATAATCAATATTATGAGAGCCTTTTCAAAATGACATATTTGGATTTGCTATATGAACAATATTGAACTAGCATGGTAGGCTGGTAACGTATGAATCTAAAGCCTTTTTTGATGTTGACAAGGATTGGCTTGTACATGAAAATGATTTATTTTTCATTCTTTATTGCTTGTGGTAATGACAATTCCACCTCATATCTGGTCACATGAGAATTTAAACTTCAAAAGTTTAAATTAGTTACTTTTTTATCAAGTCTTATCTTTTAGAGCATCAGAGATGAAAAGTATATGACAAGTACACTTAGCTCGGATTGACATAGAAAAACATATGAACCAAGGAGGAAGAACATTATCCATGACGAACTGTACAAAAATAGGCATGCTCTAACAACATCAACAGTATAGAGCAACTTCTAGGAGCTGCTAACTGATATCTTAAAAGCTGACAGCCAAGCTTAGATTGAATTTATTTTGGATTATTTAGTTACCCTCTTATTCCTTTGTGACGACAATAAATTTTTTCTCTCAAACATAATAAAAGGTGTATTCCAAAAGAAAATGAAACAAAGTTTATTGTTAGTGGAACGTAATGATGCACAATCTAATTGACATATGGGAAGAGAGGCTATCGTGCACAATGTGAAGCAAGTTCAATTAACTGATCCAAGGATGAAAATCTCAATACCTAAATATGTGTATTGTTGTGTACTTCTCCAGTAGAGACAAGAACGTTTATGAGACTAGATGGTTATAGCCAACAACTGGATCTGAGATATTTAGCCATGGATTTTGTGACGAGCTTACTTTATTTGTATAGATACAATCTTACATATGCAATGTGTGGTTGGTTGTTAGAAAATGCTTATGAAATCATTTGTCAACCCATTTTCATTCCTATTGAAACAGCAAACTTCTTCTTCAAAGGAATATCCCCATCATCATAGCACAGCTAAAAAGATAGAGATATACAGATTTCATATTTCTTTTTTAAGTCCGGATCCAACATGTTTTACAGTTGTCTTATTATTCATTTCATATAATCCACTAAAGCGATTTAAAACCAAATCATGGTCAAAGACCACAATTTTAACGTGTGCTATACCGTTATTAGGTCAATCTTTTACTCATGATGGAGTTTACTTATAACAGCATCAAACACTATGTTGTTGGTTTGTCTACTTTTTTGTATTTGTTGGAATAATGTTGAGAACAGCAACTCGGTGACAAATAAAAATATTTATAGAGCTACTTTGGACTGTCATTGGTCTCAATCTTCCAACTTCATATTCTAGTACCTCAGGTGATACTCTGGTCTTATATATATAAAACTTGGTCCTAGAGTTACGTGAAGGACGTGTGCAAGGCTTAAGCTCAGTTCAAGAAATATGCCGATCAATTTCGAGGAATGTGAAGTTCAAGTAGACAGATTTGGTGTAGTTACAGATAAAGATTCTACTATCCCTGAAAGACCCACCAGGAACATGTCGCACATTGTCATGGAACTTATTGAATTTAAGCTACAAAAAGTTAGAAAGCATACAGCTAGAGTTGACAAGTAGCATGTTAACCTATTACCAATCTCAAACGTTGTGTGGTCATCTGAGAACTAGGTAGGATAAATAAGTGGGCATCTGAACATCTTGTATCCTAGCCAAGATGTAAACCATATGAAATATCTTGATTTAAATATAAAGTAGGGTGTGATTTGTTAGAGGGAAAGGCTGTTCACATGGATAGCCGACGAACGGAGAGCATTTGGTAGCAGGATTCGCCCAGTTCGCAGGAGGTGGCACCGGCACTTCATAATCCATGCAACACATAATGACATATATATGTTACCACAAACAAGCGTGGAAGAGCTCACATTGTCTACTTCCGACCATTTGTACGCGCGTAGCGTTGAGAAATTTACTCAATGACATGGATGTGCTCTAGATGTTGAAAAGAGGCAAAAAATATATTGAGCAAAAGACGGTGGCAAAGATAGTAGAAGAGAGCGCCCAAGCTTGAATCATTCTCATTCAAGTGTGAACAGATTACAATTGTAAGTACCTAACTGAAACAACTTCGCCCAACTACAATGCTTCAAGATGTTGCTGCTAAAAGATCCTCTGATCGATCTGCTGGTATGCAGTGATCACGAAGAATCTGTGGTATGGCTGTCCTGGCTTGCTCGGTTTCGAGCACCACGAGCATTTCATTATCAAGCTCTATTTGTATGTACCTGTCCTCGCATGCTGCACAAGAGAGTGATTTACACAAAAACCTCGATCAGATGTAAGAATATTTTACATTTGTATGTGGATGATGAGCTCTAGATAACAATATCAGAAGAATTCAGACATTGTATCAAACGTCTTCAACTAGAGAAAGATTTCTAGAGAAAATTTACTTTCAGAACTTCTTCCTAATCAAAGGTTGGAAGGCAGCTTAGCAAGATGTAGCTTACAGTCTGCTAATTGCGCAAGCTGCCTCAGATTTCGAATTTTAGAACCATTGAAACTTAGCACCTGATACCACCAGACTCCACACGTTAATAAACGTAGAGACGTTTGAACCAGCAGTGCTAAATTGAAAAAAAACTTGCATACTCTCCTTCAGAGCGAAACATCTTCACCCTCACCTGGGCAGCTTCAATGTCCTCATATCCTACATTGACATCGCTTGCAAGTACCTGAAATTTTTTTGTCCAGCGATTAGTAGTTGCGGTAATATGGCGTCAAACCGCGATGCTACTGACCATCGATACATCCTTCACAACATGAAGGAAATATACAAGTGACCTGGTTTGCAACATCCTGGGCTAAAATGAATCGAGAGATTAAAACTTGCCAGGAAATATGAGGGACATCTTTTGATACCTGCGATACAACTACCAATTGTTCGTCTTCAAACTCGGCCATGCCATATGTTGCTTTCTCCAGTATCTTCACCTGAAAACGAGCAAAATTGCAAGTGTAAAAAAAAGAAGGAAATAGCATAATAGCACAAAAGCATAATAGCACAAGTTGAATGCAGATTGCATATACTTTGATGCGACGCATGTCATAGAAAACTGAAGAATGGATAGTTTTCATACTAACAACTACGCCATTTGACTGATCGTTTTCAGTGCAAATCAGACAATTGGTTTGAGAAAGACATGTGTGAATAGCCCTCACATAAAATCATGGAGGATGAATGGTATTCATCCTTGGCATTCATAGAGTGTACTTACAGGTATGTTAGAATCGTAATCCATACCAAAATGTGATCTGAATAAGAGAGACTCAGGATCAGAGAGCGTAGAAGACGTGAAAACGAGCACGACAAAAGACTTCAGAGATTCACGATGAACAACTGAGACCAGATAGAAAGTCGACTGTCTACCCTTGCCTAAACACATCAACCCTAACACTTCTTGCTGAAGATATTTAGGTCCACGACCTACAGTTAGGTTCTAGCAAATATAAAAAGATCTTATACACAATTAAAAGCTCCTATGAAGGCTTTAGACTCGAATGAAAAAATAAAACCGCCAGAGACTAAGCTCGAGTACAAATTTTACTTACTCTAAAAATGGTTGACTGACAACTGTGAATACGAGTCCTGCCACAATCAAGTATGAGGGCAGCTTTCCATCAATATGTACAGGGACCTGCGAACGAGACAACTTATAAGCAGGGTCTACGGGAGGGGCAAACAAGCACCAGGTAGGTCTACTAAGCTACACAATAAATCAAGATAACTGATATTACTCGCAAGATAAAAGCTATTTCAAGGACAATTAAAGAAACGAAGTGCACCAAAAATACAACAAATATAGATGAAATTCGCCTCTATGTAAGTAACGAGTGATACTTCATTTCAAGAAGTGCTTTCCTCACAACTGTGATACAATTACGTGCGTGCGTTATCCTTCATGTCATTTAGGGGGTCTTGTTTATGTCAGTAGATTTTATTGTTTTGTTTCATTAATAATAGTTTCTGTTTCATTTTCAAAAAGCCCCCCTTTTTTCAATAAAATTTGTCATTTGATTTAGTAATTTTTTATTCTTGAGCAAGACGGCCTTCTGCGCCAAGCTTAACTTGACATTGCGCGAAATTGAGGTGCTTAAACTTTTATTGAGCAAGGACAGAGGAGGATGCTTACCAGCCTTGTGGGTGCTTTCAAAGCCGTTTGTAGAGTCATTACTTCACCGCCGCGAAGTACTTCAACTTCCACCAGGTCCCCCGAATACCTGGGAAATGGAATGCATTAGATGCAGAACTTAGCTGGGGTGAGCTGAGACTTTTGCAAATTCGAGGTTTTCCAGCTCAACTGTGTGGCAATATAGATGACTAAAACGGGTACATACTTTTGGCTGGCAAGAAATGTAAAGGCAATGCGCTCTCCTGCTTGAAAAGGTACAGTTCCTTCATTAGCCACTGGTACACCGTCAAATTTCATGAGCACATCTCCCTGAAACATAAGGAGCACCATTTATTATTAGCCAGCCGCGTTGACCTAATCTAAACAGGATAGTTTCTCATGAGTGTAAACAAAAGCAAAAGAATAACGAAACGAGGCTGGAAATTATCAAGCCTTCGAAGATGGAAACAACGGTTAGCATGTAAAGCATTGCACTGGATGCAGGATCACGTACGGCTTTAAGAGCTTTTGATGCTGGTGATGTTGGTTCTACTCTTCGAATAAGCACACCCTGCACATGAGAAGATCATCAACGCTGGTTTAAAAGCAGCCAGACGACTGACTAAGACTCTGATGGTAATGAGGTTCTATACGTGCTACCAAAAAAATATAAACAACATGGCCACTTGGAATGAAAAACGTAGAATGAAGCTCCTTGTGAGGTACAGTGAGAATCAATATATTCCGTTTTCCAGCTATCAAGGAATTTTTCAAAGTAACTGCATCGATTAGGAGAAGCTCTCGTCTGGTCTTTTAGAACATGGAGAAGATCCGGTCTGTTCTTTATTGCGATCAGAAGTGGAAAGAATAAATAGACAAACCCTTTGGCTGTTGGTCATTTGAAGAGCTGCTCGTAACGCACTGTTCTCCAACCTTTGCCACACCAGCCCACAAGAAGGAAAGCCTACAGGGCCCGTAAAAAACATATCAACGTACAAGTTCAGTCTTGACACCACATTAAAAAATGTTAAATACTGGCAGTAACTTGACTTCTATCCTACAACCTGGACAAAATGTTTATATGAACTCACCGGTATTCTTCCCGTTACGTTCGTAGTCAAAGAGGAAGTGCTTGATTACGGGTGTTGGTATTACATATCCAATATTCTCTGCATCACTGGCATCAATAGACTGTGGACACACTGGTTAGCGAAGTCTTCACTTCAACCAAGATAATGAAGGAGTTGAGAGAGACCTACAATGACGACAGAAGACCAACTTGGACTTCAGTGCATGGTTAGTTTCCTTCACATGTTACCATGTGTCCCAGGGTAAGATGTGTGATTGTATGAAAGCTCCGGCAGACCAAGATGTAGATGGGTATTATTCAACGTCATGCCTGAGAGGTAACTCATTAAAGTTTGGGATCTACGCAAAGAAAGCTCGTTCCGTATGCCATCTGTCTTCAATTGTTCACGTCTGTAAAGATTCTCTCTAGTATATTTTAATCGTTGTCCATAGTTATATAAGGTCTCCAGTGGAATTTCTGATAATTATATCCTTCTTATGCTGATTTTAATCCTACATGAGATGTTGAGATTACATGAGCGTCAACTCACCAAAGAGCTATGTGAAGCCATCAGTGACCACTTGTCATTGTGAATAATCGGGAACGATCAAGCGAGCTTACGTCCATTGCGAGGCTGTATTGACAATAATCTCAGTATTAGCTACATTATTCAGGATGTAAAACAAAAAGGTATCTACAGGAAAATGTGCAGAATGTGCAGTTTATCACTCTGCACCAGCAATGGACTTCGGAGCCTAAGAGATATTAAGTGCCCGCTTGTAGTTGCTTGCAAACTTAACTCTCAGGAATTAAGTCTGCAGAAATCTCACATTCAGAGAGTCGTTAAAAAACACCAACGGATTCCCGGTATCAATAGTTCCTGACTATTAACTTTGAACCAAGCTTTCAACTTTTTCTCCGATTTAAGGCAGCATCGAATCGAAACAGCCTTTCATGAGTTAAGTTGCTAGCAGTGAGGCTGATAGCTTTTTGCTCCGAAGTCGCAAGCACCCATACGAACGGACCAGATAGGAACACGGTCCGAAGTCGAAGTGGCTTACTTCCCTTTATGTCAATGAAACTAAACTGAGCTGAAGCAGAAGTAGACAGTTGCAACATATGTCGTCTAGGGTTATATCCGAGTTGAATCAAATGGAGTATAGATTCGCCAAGGTGCAAGCGACACCTGTAAACCTTGGCAACGTACGGGTCAGGATGTAGTGAAGGTGGCAAGACATCCTCCGGGGTCAGATCTGTAGGACTATATGATAGTTTCTAGAACTTTAGTTTCGGAGGCGACAATTGGGCTAGTGGTGAATCTTAAATCTGAACGCTCCCTGTCCAGGTTGCATAGCCTGAATGTGTGATCTTCCAGCAATATCTTCAAGATGTTGCGTGCCAAGGCGGGAAGCTGCATTTTAGACAAACGAATGCAAGTGATTCCAACGATAGCAAGGTAGCACTGTTGGATTCCCTGCTGACAGCCACCTTCGTTCATCACAATTAGCTAGACAAACTTAGAACTAGTAAACGTAATTAGTGACGAGTGTCTGACCAGGGTACACCTAATTTCTAGTTAGGCTTTCGGCTGGTTCTATCTGTGCTATGTGCCTATTATATATTGCGCACACCATGGGTCTGGACTTCTATCTATTTAATCATTATGTGCCCTTGTAGCTAACTAGCACGGCCAATACTGGAATAAACCTCCTACGAATAAGTGATTATTCAACACAAAACTGAGTATGAGAAGTAAGACTGTTACTTATGTTCGTGATGAGAACTAGTTCTTGCACTTCTTATACTTCATCGAATCTCCATGTGACTCTCTTCTTTACTCCAGATGATCTAGTGTTGATTCGACACAGATCTGAGTATGATAAGTATGGGTCTTACTTCTTTTATTCATGAGTACTAGTTATGACCTGTGTTTATGACACGGACCTGCTAAGTGCAATACTTTACATGAAAACGCAACAACTGTCTTTACAGAGTCACATGCAACGCCATCAAGAGAATGAGAGCGACATTAAATCACATCCTTGCTCCAGTGGTGGAAACAAAAACATACTCCGCTGTTCGAAGTCTTTATTCGAAGCTAATGTCAAATCTTTCGACTCCGACAAACTTTATAGGTGGAGAAAATAGTTACGGCTTTCTTGCATGACACTTAGAGGCTCCGAACTAACCAAGAAGGAAAATTTTCTTACTAAAACGAAGACCATTTCTTTCTAAAGATTTATTCCCTATGCATCCCATCTTCCTTCTTCTGCTCAGTCTGTTCTCACTGGAAGGCGAGGGGTCTTTGGTCTTCAGGCAATGACAGGCACAGACTAACGGATTTTACATACTTTCAACAAATGCCAACCCTTTTGCACACGAGAATAAGCAGGCCTAGAGGTGAGTCCTTTTTTTGATGCCGCAGTGTAGATCAAAACCTACAAAAAAAGGGGGGAAAATACAATGCCTAGGCAAGCAAATACACTTTTTTCGCACAAAATTGCAGATATATCATGAAGGTTCTTGAGACCAATACCTGGAATGCAATTCCAACACATTCACCATCTTCATCGAACGCCGGACCACCACTATTACCTGTGAAGTTACGAGCACTGAGTACCTCGAGTCCACAATAATAACTTGTACGTATACTCTTCACATTAACAGATCTGACTAGGAACTTATTTGAATGCGATAACTTCAAGACTTGATTGAATTCGATCTACCGAATATGCCTTTGCTAATATGATGCTTCTTGATGAAGAATTCAAATACAACTCCAGGCTGGAAATTAGAAGCAAGATATGACGCTTAAATTTATACCCGGATTAATTGCGGCGTCAATTTGTACAGCCAGAAGCTCAGTCGCTCCATGTGCATAAGATGTTATCTACAATCAAGGCAATTGATGAGTTTCAGAACACAAAAGCACAAATTGCTAACTAGCTAAAATTACGTACATTCCACCTAAGCGTCGTTCTAGCAAACGTTAAAGGCAAAACAATCAAAATTTCTTGGTCCTTTCCGAAATAAACTTCAAAACTTGCATAAACGCAGGTCAACAGTTTAAATAGCATGTTCTGATCACAGAGGCAGTAAAATTGGAATTGTATAATGCACAGTGAGAAGTATAATACCGTCGCACTATCTGTACAAAACTCCACAAAAAAGCCCAATATAACTGATATGGAGTGCACTAATGGTTTCAGATTTGGCATAAACTTGAACATCAGTAAATGATACCTCGACTCGAGAGACAACACCACTAGTTACAGAAATCGTTTCTCCCCCGATGGGGTAACCAACCACGGTAACTGGGTCCTGCACAAAGATCATAAATAGAAAAAATTTAACATGAGATGAAGTATGAGAGTGAAGTTTTAAGCCCCATAGTAAACATCTCGTTCGTACAAACTAAAGAAGATTCCAAGTAGAAAACTAAACTCCTCAGATTTCTTACTTTTCTATATAGACAAATTGATGGTTTAAATATACCTGCAATCGAGGAAGCCCGCCAAACTCTAGAGGCTCCACATCTGCCCAAAACTCCTCGTCTTGAACAGAAAGAAGTGCAATGTCGCACTCTCGACCAACTGCCAACACCTGTTTAGAAATGTAAATAGAAAAGATTATGAGTGATAGAATATACACAAATGACACACATGACGCACGATTATAATTGACATTTGGAGACTTATTTAGAACAAGTCGTAATCAATAAAACAAGCCAACCTGGAAATCTTATATATAGAGAATAAGACTGAAACCCCAGTTCAAGAAGCTACACAACCTTGACAACAGAAGCTATGTAGGAATAGAAATCATCACATACTGTGGCAACAAATTTCGTGTCGATTCCTCGCCTCTTTACTTTGACCTGAAATTCATTAAAGTTGAACTGGTTCAGTTGAAGCATCTTGAAATTGCTGCCTTCGACAGAGGGCCCACGCATATTGACGTTTCTGAAAAAATATGGAGTGATAGATTTATACTGAACACAATGAGCTAGAGCATGCACCTGAGTGTGGTGCTCGACACAATGGGCATTAGTAAGCAATCTCCGCCCCGAGATCATGAAGCCACTGTCCAAGCATAGCGCATGAGAGACTTGTGTTAACGAAAGAGGTGAAAATTTCAAATGATTCATTAATGAGAAGGATATCAGCTTTGAAGACTTGTTTGTTCTCTAAAATTTTTTCGTAACGTAGTACGTTTGAGTGGATAAAACTTCCAGTGACAATCTAGAAAGCTCCTTAACAGTACCAACTGATTTTTCAATACGTGTTCGCTATGCACAAGCTCGCAATTGCCGAAATGTGAGTACTTGCCTGCCAGTGACGGAGTATTGCCTCATCTTCTGCCATGGAAGTGAAAAGTTCGGTTCGGATCGCGTGGTATAGACCTGCCGTTAGAGGTCATGCATGTGCATGGTCAAGGATTTGATTTAATTCTATGTAGGCACTACACTCCACTAGTTGGTCTTGTTATCCAGGCAAGAAAGCAAAATGATGCTCTAACCTTTTTTTTGCCAAGAAAAGCAAACCATAGATATATACAGGCGAAAGGTTATAGTTCAATGAAAGATCTTTGTGTTCCACTCACACTGCGATTTCTGTATAAAATCCTTAATACTCGGTTAGCAGATCAGAACAAGAATTATCAAACGTTCAATTGGCAAAAGGTTGTACCTTAACAACTGCATCCAAGAATGGAGCATCATCTAAGTCATCAAACTCGTCATCCTGTTGAGGTCAAAATCTGGCGTTAGTCATAACCATGAAATTGAAGTCCAGACCAGCACTTGGATCGACTTAAAACAATCCGAAAACTTAGATTGCACCAATGACCCGGTTCACATGACCACCAATCAGGAAGAGGAACTGCCACGAAAAGTTTCCACGAAGACTGCGGCCACTCAGTCCTCCTTGTAAAATCTAAGGCTAATGAATAATCCATCTGCCCCACATCACACTATTCCCACTTCTTTTCACTCCATCCGCTTTTGAAGTAAACCTCATGTCTTGAAGAAAATGGTATGTATCTGCTTCTGAACACTTTGCTCTGTTCAGCATAACTCCGCTTGGATTTCTCTCGCAGCCCCTAACAAGCACGTGTTGCAAGTCTGCAGTGATCGAGTTTCGGCTACAGTCTCAGAGGCAAAAAGAGTCATTGACTTGATCTCCTGAGGTTCGAAACTAAACTCCATATGAGACCGTGGTCTATCTCGTGGGATTCCGCGAACTTATGATACAGGATACCCTGTAAGTCTGTGTGCCACCGTACGTTACTCTTGAGCAACTTAATTGTGTGATCTTCTCAACTTTTATCAGTAGGCGTCATATATTTACGTAGGAAAAGTGTTGAAATTCCGACGGCAAAGTACGCCCAACTGGTACCTTGTTAGACCAGTTTGTCAAATTTATCTGCCAATTATACCTTGTAAAGCCAGTTCCCATTCAAGCCTGAGTCGTTCAGCAAATCCAACACATTTTCCTGCTCCTCTCTCGTGAGTCCCGCTCCAAGGGTCGCTCTTTGTGATTTCTTAGATTCGGGCTTCTGCCTACTGCGTTTAGCAGCAGATGCAACGATGATATGTTTTCTCTGAACATCAATTCTGTTGTGCTCCTGATTCAAGCCGAACGAACTGGCTGCAGAACGCTGTGTTCCCAGAAAATTGCAACATTTCTTACTGACAATCTGTTGAGCATATTCATCACGTCCGATAAACAGAATATGAGGTGTCAGCTGTCGGCTTATTAATCATGCACTTTATCCACATTTGAAATTTAAAATGTGGGGACATAATACGTGCTTTTCAGCATGCATGTGATTACAGAAAACCAGAGAAACTGATACGGCTCAAAGAATGAGCTCAATTCTACAGACCAAATTCAGATAGCAGCTTTGAGCTCCCACCTGCGCCTCGAGAGGTGTGCTCAGCTTCGAAGGAGCTGCCTTATCCCACCGAACTTCGCGCCCACTGATTCCACCGTTCCGGAATCCATTTTTTGGATAATGGCTACATCTCCCTGCAGCTGCGAGAACACCACGGAAATGCGGAGCTATGGGTGCGACCAGGGAGCATGTAGAGTGATGGGCAGCTGCACCCATCACCGTGGTGCTCACCCCCATTCAATCTGCCCCTCCTTCACCGTGCGACTCGACGACCTCGTCCAGCCCAATCCTTCTTATCTTCTTCGAGGAGAGTCAAACATTGAGGATGTCCATGGCCGGCCCAGAGCTGCAGCTGGTGCAGCTTTCCTTGCCCACGGACAGGATGGAGTACGAGGTGCAGGGTTTAAGCGAACCAACCGCTCGGCACTGGCTCTGCCCTGCCCGTCCTTGCGGACTTTTCCTTTTTGGGCGAATCTCTTCGCCCTCTTCCCACTGGTCGGGTCGAAGCAGATATTGCGGGCCTTGCTTTTGTTCGGTTTCGGCCCCTTCCTTGGGGGAAGAGCAGGCGTGAGGCAAATCGAAAGAGATGGCTGTAACAGGGGACTGAAGACGCACTCCCACATCGGAGTCAGTTCTTAACATATCCATCGCGTGCCCAGCATAAAATCAACATTTCCATTACGTCAACAGTTCGCACGAGCTCCTAAACTCTCGGGTACGTGTGCTTGTTTTTCAGTCGATACACTTCGATAGCTCCATATAATTCACAGTTTTTTAAAAAAGCATATCCATATGAACTCTCCGTTATATTTATTATCCACTCCTAAAGTTTACGAATGATGTGTATACTTTCAAAGAGTTTCAGTGTAATACAAATTATACAATTCTGTTTGACTTTCACTTCGACACCTTGTCTGCTTTCGTGGTCCTGCAAAATAGTTTTTGTAGGTTAGATAAAGAAAAGCATGTCATTCTAAATATTTACGAAATGTATTATCTATTCTAATATTTGTGTATTTTTTACTTCATACATATACATATATACCACAACATATATATTTATCACAGTATATCATATACCATCTTAAATGTATCACACTTTGCCCAAAGCCATGTCACGTATCTCCAATATTAAATTACCCCCTCCTCCATAACATAATCTATCCTTAGTGCTGCTAATATCGAGAAGCCATGTGTTGCAATGACTGGATTTCTGCAATCAATAACATTTAATAATCATACCAGCTTGAATTAAATACATATGGGCTGCATTACTTAAAAAATGAGTGCCCAACATGATATATATCATTCTTTCTCTCTCTATAATCACCATTTAAGGCACTAACAATAATATACCTACAATTCACACAATATATATATGCGAAGTATGTTAGAACCATGAATATATAAACTATTAACGTTTGAAAATTGACATGGGCTTAGTTACATATATGTTACATCCATTATCATGTGACATGGATGTCTCATCTGTGTATTTACAAATACTAAAAAAAATCTATGTAATTTCATATATTCTGAATATTGTGCAACTAGTAGTGACATCGATCATTGACATGAAATTTCAAAAGAAAAAGTACATATCCATTTTCTCAAATGATAATATGATATAAAGACTACTTATGTTCAGCAAAAATTAGTTGATCAAGTTCCATGTCAAATACAAAAGAGATGCAGTTCATTCATATTACAAATGAACTAAAACTTTAAGTCTGAAATGTTAGCTAAGTGACAAATAGCAACATTGAGTTTACATTCTTATACTAAAACAATTATTATTCTGTGACAAATTCATAAACATTTGCTAACTAAATCAAAACTCCAACTTCTCGATAACTAGGTGATTCAATCTCCAATATGATTATGTTCCAGGTCAAACTTTTATGTTACTCTCTATCTATTAAATCATTTGGATTATCTCATGAACTTCTAGAATGCAACACTACATATTAAGAGAAAATTTCATTCTAAGAAGTAAAACAACTCTGAATATGAGAGAAATCTAGAAGTTTCTACTTTCTTATATACATACAAGTATAAGGAGATGTTATTTCAACATCATTATACATTCCATTGCGAATGAATTGATGACATGGCAGAGTATCTTGACAAGCACATAGATTGTTCACGTGTCACAGTCAACCAAAAATAGTTATTATTTACTTATCAAACACACGGATTGCTGATATGATGATTAGATAATCCATTGCAATAATGTTAAATTCTCATCTTGAGTTTTTTTTATTTAAATTTTAACTAATTGAAGATGATTATAGAACTCATTTCTTTTGAGACGCAATGTACTCGTTGCATATCTGTTCAAAGTTTTGAAATATCAAAGATGCATTAGGTTTATGTCTATTTGGTTTTCAAATTGATTCATATGATGGTTATACTTTTCATCAAATCAAATTCTTTATTTAGAAATATTAATGATCTCAAATTCATATCTTGAGTTTATTCTCTAACTCCAATTTCTTCTGATTAGTTATAAAGGTTGATGTTTTATTTTAACACATATTTTTACAATTGTGATATATGAAACATGGAATTTTTTTTCATATGTGATGAAAGTTTCAACTTTTCACCAACAAGTTTCAATATCATAAAAGAACAAATAAGTCTAAGATTAAATTTCGGTATTCTTACAAGTTACAAATTTATTGTAGACATCAAACATGATAGCATACTTGAAAAATTAACTTCCTATTATGAACATTTGCATGTTATTTTTTGTTAATTTCAAGCATTCACTGATCTTTTACTTGATTGATATAAACTTATGTGAATATGTTTGACAATTTTGTTAACTATATTTATTTTGATCCACCAGTTACTTTGAGTACATCAAATTAGAGTGCAAAGAAATTTGTTTGCAACAATGACTTTTATATTTTGTTCTTATGAAGTACAGTAAATATAACTCGATGAATGATGTTGGAACTCAGATTGACATTGTAACGATTGGTCAATTATTTGTTTTGAATGTAGACATATTCAAGGAGTTAAAAAACAATTTGATCTTCACGAGTATCAAGAAACAAATTAAATATTAAAACTCAAATGAACATTGTGAAAATTGATATGATGTATGTTGTTGCTTTAAAGTTATGTACACATGATTCAAAGATTACAATATTGTTAAGGATCATATTTTGTAAATCTTTTAATATAACCTAATAAACAAAACTCATCACAATTTTGTTTATTACGCCTATTGGTTGTATTTTCTAGCTGTTGGCCATAGTAATAATTCGTTTAAAAAAAATTCTAAAACATACTAAAGATACAACAAATAGGTGTAATGAACAAAATTGTCATAAGGGTGAAGAAATTCTAAATTTTGTATAGATTGTATTATTATTTTAAATATTAAAAATAAATATTAAAACCAAATCAAAATATCATTATTTGTATATAATTACATTTCAAATTTGGTTGATTTTTGTAAAAACTTGCTCAAATTATTTCAAGTTTATTATCTCATCATCATGTTTGATACAAAATGTATATGGAATATGTTTATTAAAATGTATTAGGAATATTAATTTCATAGTGTCTTGTACTAATAAAATCACATGTCAAATTTGATTTGAATTTAAAAAAAATCAATTCACATTCATTGTTTCAAAGTGATTTTTGATCTAATTTTATCTAATTTTTCAAAAATTTAATAATGCTTCTAAATTTTCACACATTGCTTAAAATTGGGAAGATTATTTTTTCTGCATTTATTGAAACTTCAAGATTTTGAAAGATAAAGTATAGATTCATCTCAGTTTACCAAACTTTAATCTAATATGTAAAACATTATGATCTACATCACATGATACAATCTAATGCAAAGGTATGAAATCATTTTGATTGGCTTAATATTTTATTTTTTATGTTTTTTGATTTGATGTTATAAATACAAATCTGTTTACATTGATTTGTCGATTATTTATTTTTCAAATCATTATAATATGATGCACGTAATTTTTAAGATTACAATTTTCAAAATGTAACTTGTAACAATGAAAAAATACATTTTTCAAAAATTATTGCAAATGTTATGTGATTATTAAATACAGCTCACAAGACATTATTTTTTATGTGATAACTATAGATTTCTCATCAATGTAGGTTTAAGCACAATCCATTGTAGCTATTTTTTATCTTATCGATTAAAAAAATCTAAAAAATACATTAAATATATTATAAATACCCAAATACCATGAAATCCATAATTTACAATTTTTAGTTCAAATCTCAATGTGCGATGAGTATCTTTGAAAGTTTGACAACATGAAAAGTATTTTCAAGTTAAGTAATGAAATATCAATAAAAAATATTTGTTGATTAATAAATAAATAGTTGATATTCATGCATTTACCATTTAATTGTTCTTGGTGTACATCATTACACATCGAAAAAACATCTGCTCATCTGTCATCTCGTGTCTTTGCCTTGCACGGGCCATGATGTCATAAAAACTCAACTCTTCTTGATCATATAGATACATTTCTCCCGGCCGAATGTACATTTCATTTCCCTGCGTCAAGGCCACAGCTCTCGACTTCACTTCTCTGTAATGAAGATGCTAGCGATACCAAGAACAGGAAAAGATGCAATTCCACTGCAACTACCTTCGTAGATAACAGCACATCCAGAAAGCCCAGTCAGCTCTTGGCACAAGAATACAGGAGTGAGGGCTTTATGCAATGGATTACCTCTTCTGCAAAAAGCTCCTCCAGGACGCGGTTGATCTGCTTCTCTTCAGCCACCATTGCTAACGCCATGCTCACAAGCTCATTGGACAGAACGTAGTCACTTATCTTTGAGACTGACACGAGATTTTTGGTCCGGGAGTCTAAAATTTCGCTAATGATGATGGACTGATCCGATGCTTGTTGCATTTCACGTATCCAAGAACTTTGTGAGGCCCCCGCAGCACGCACTTGTACATGTTTAGATGCTTGGTGCGGCAATCGCTTTGACTGTTGAGCAGAGAATAGAAGTGAACGGAGTGATCATGATACAACTACAAAGATTAGAGATTTTCCACTTCCAGATCTCGATGGACGATTAGATGGCAGTCTACAGAAAAAACCGAAAGTTTCATGCATATCTAGGACGGATTAACCAAGTGGACAGTTGAGATACGATACCTGAATATCACGAATTAGCAAAAGCGTAGCTAACGATCTGGAATCAGCATTGACCACACTATCCTCCAGAGCCTCGTCGGCAAGGATCAATATCTGAAATATTCAAGGCACGGATCACCTCAGCGTTCCAGGAGAGATTGAGATCTCCAATTTCATATACGGAAAGACGCTGCCAGCTTTGTCCAATCACGGAGGACTTTCCAGTGGGTACTTTTGAGTGCTTTACGCTATAGCACAAGTTACTGACTTTCAATACGTATAAAAAGTCTATACGGGTTCATAATTTAATATGGATGTCTTCAACAAACACTAAAGCTTGCGTTGGCTTGAATTAGCGTGCAAACTAGTAGTTTCCCTGATATGAGTTGAACCAAGGTTGGCTTCTCGAGTTGGCTTGGCATATCCAAAAAGAGAATTCTGCAGCTAGGGCAGAACCTGGGATAGAAAGACAAGGCGGATTGTGAAGATGAATGAAAACACCACCAGGCTTTCTACTGCAAGCTATACGTTCCCGTGTCACAACCATATACCAGAATGAAAGGAATCAAAAAAGTTCTATTTGTTTGCATCGAGACGAAGAACATAAAATAGTTTTCGTCATCCGAAGTTACACACCGAATCAAACGTCTCAAGTGGTAAGCTTTCAAGGTGTCGACGGATAACGGCATTTCCTTGGCGATGCTGTACATGCTGTACATCGAAAAAACATTATTGTTCCAATAAGGAAGACAAACTTCTGCATCGCTTGTAAAATCAATCTATGTACTATATTTCAAATAATTTAAACATTTCAAAAATATAGCAAAATAAAATTTTAAATTTTTCAAAATGGTTAATTTTGAAAATTTTGAAAATTTAAGTTTAGGAATATAAATTTTAAATTTTTCAATATCTTCATTTATTCTAATAAACAACAAAAATCAAATTTTTTTTTGCTCAAAGTTTGAGCATGCTAGACTTTTTGTTGTGATCAACTAGAGCCTGTGTACATTTTTAATTTATATAACATAAAAATAAGTAGTGATATTTTCACGTAAAATTTCTAATCATATTTGAAAAAATAGTTTTTTAATTATTTTAATGTGAACTTTTGTGAAATATCTAAGTTATTATTTGACTTTTTGACTTTAATATTCTGATTACAAAAAATGTAATGTGACTTTTGCAATTATACATGTATGTATGTATATATATTGTGTGTACTTATGCGTTTCAAAACTAGCAATTCAAGTCTTACAATTATGATGACATGTACAATGTAAAATTTATTTAATACTTCTACAAAATCACTTAGTTCATTTTTTTCCCATCAACTCTTAAAGTAAAAATCACATACAAATCTTGTTACTTCTTTCCTAAGCATGAAAAAGTATTGAATCACTCAACCATCAATCATGTGGATAATACTATATATGATGAAATTTAATCATAAGTAGGTTATTTATTAAAAAAATTAGGTGAAAATATTTATCTAAATTTAAAACATAATCAATAATAAATTATGAATCATCTACATCTGATTAATATTTACATTACCATCCTTTATAAAAAATATATTCATTCATCATATATTTGAATAATATCAATGATTAACTTTTCTTGTTGATTCCAACAGTAATGTCAAATCAATATATAAACATGTTATTACAATATAAATTAAATTACAAAAAAACACAATGAAAAAAAATATAATCAAGTCATAAAAATGTGATTTAGCTCGTTGTTGATGCACAGTAACACACAGTATGAATTTATTGAAAATTTTAATTGTGTCACTTAGAACTATTACTTTTTAAATATATAATTGTTGTCTATTTAATATAATAAATTGTGATCAAACTAATTAAAATGATGTAAGTTATGAGTTGACTCATAATAATAAGTTTTTTGACTTGTATCTTAGTTATTGTAATCTCCATTAGTTATATGATATTTTGTGATAAATTTTGAAGTGATATTCATAATAGTTTTTGTTCAAAACTTTAGAAAGAAAACTACTTAAAGTGATAAACAGAGATGAATGTACATAAGTGAAACATATTGAGTACACACGTGAGTACGTGGTCCAGCTTCAGATTACATTCACGGCCAAAGTGAGATGACTTTGATAAACCATATAGCGGGAGTAACATACTAGCTACAGCCGACAGAAATATAAATGTACCCAAAAAAAAAGAGTTAACCTCAACAAAAACCAAAGTTAACTATTCAAGCCAATTTGAAGTCCAACATAAGCTTTCAAATTTTTTTGAAATTATAAAAATTTGAAATATTTTAAGAAACAAATATACACACAAAATTATATAAAATATTGATAAATGATAGATATTTTTTTTAAATGAAAAATGTTGGAGTGTTAATACATCACATTACTATGTATATATATAAAGTATTATGTGAACAATCGATTTTAACTTCAAACAAAATTCATGTCAAAATTCATTTTAATAAGAAGACTAAAATAAATAAAGTATAATATATTTTAAAAATATTAATCAGTCTCAAATGTCATAAGTAATAATGTATTATGAAATATTGTAATACTAAGAATTAAGAGAATAGATCATTCAAAATTGAAACATAATTTTGAATATAAGAGGTTGATAGAACGATTATTTCATTCCTTATATGGCTACTATAAACAAATATAAGAAGATAAAATCTTACATCCATCATTCATTTCATTATTAGTAGATTGATAGAATAGAGTATAATACTAAAAGTAAATTAAATGTTGACATGTCATTATCTATTAACATATTGATTAATACATACTTTACTTTCATAGTAAACTGTAACCATTTTTAGTTACATAGAACTAAAATAGATGTTACTCAAGATTGAGTAGAGTAGAGTATATTGAAAAATCTACAATGCCATATCAGCAATGTGTGCTCTAGTTGAATATGTTATTTAGTTAGTTAGTTGGAAAGTATATGTCAGCAATCCGTATGCTTCTTAGGTAAAGATTGAATGCATTAGTAGCAACGCGCCATCAATCAATGTGCTCATTAGGTATATCCGCTATGTCATCAATACAGTAGAAGTGAATTGGATGATGGGGATGAGATCTTATCTTCTAATACTTGTTGATAAGAGCTATATTGAGGAGATGAGAATCATGGCTAGTATACCTCATCTTGAGAGTTTATGTTTTCATCTTCTAGTGAGCTTTTCTCTAAATCTTAGAAAGTTAAGAGCTTAATGTTTACCGTCATATTAACCGCATTGCCATCTACAATTTTCAAAAGATTGCTCAATCAACACTAGTTTTATCAACAATCAAATTGCCAAAAAATCCAACAATCAAATTGCCATGCAAATCTTCACCTGCTATTGAAAAGAAGTTTGACTGTAAAATTTTTTTGTGCCGCCAAGCAAACTTAGACTTTTATGATATCAAAAAGATTTATTCATATCCTTATATAGACTAAAATTTAAATGTATATTTCCTCTCACTTAACAGATCTAGTTCTAACCCGAGCATAAATTCTTCAACCATGTTTATCATAATTTATAAAAGCATCATTGCAATAATGTATCTCGATATATAATAGTAAATGAAAACTTAATTAAAATTGCTGCTACTCATGTTACAATATCATATCCACGTGACTTCCAACAACAGTATTAACATGATCAAATGCAATATTTTCCCTCGCACTACTTACTCCCCTGAAACCTACATGGAGATTGATTCTAAGTTTGAGCTTTATACACATGCTAAAGTTTGTGCCCACACTATGATTGAAATAATGCGCTTTTACAACATATACAACTTCTTTATCTCATATAAGGTATTTTTAACCTTTTATTATTGTAACAATTCTACATTCAGCGATTTCTCTCAACAATACTTCCTTTCACTTCTTCAAGATTGCCTTCTTCTCAATGTCACTTCTTTTACTTTCTTCACTAAAACTTGGTTCGGCTGTTCTAAACAATTGATCTTTCCTCTTTTTCAACGATCCTTGGTTATCCTCTCTCAACTGTCCCTGGTTTCCCTCCACTAACCTGTCATTTTCCCCCCTTCTTCAACAATCTTAAGTTCCCCCTCCTCTCCATAACACTTCACATTCGAGTTCTCTTTATTTGCATCAAGGTTTTCAACTATACTCACACTAACACATATGACCAGGAAAGAAAATCTACACACAGGTTTTTTTTATAGGGACCCGCTTGTTAAAGTACCTTCAACCATGATGTAGCTGATTTTTTTCGTGAATCTGGAACACATACAAGCTTGATCGAAATTCTTCAGATTAAAGAGGTTGAATGCAAAAAGTCAGACGAAAGGGCAAAAACCGATCTAAAATAATAGAGTACAGTGTGCACAACCGCTTTCTAGAGTCAACGTGGAATCTTCTCCGCCGAGCCACGGGCTCAACCGGTAAGCCTGCGAGCAACAGTCGCTATGCAAGTCGCCGTGCATGGAGACTCAGAGCTTTGTTTGCGTGCGAAGAAGGTCCGCTCGTTGGACTCGTTGTGGATAAAGGGGGAATAATATCTAAATGCCGCAGAGTGAGGTCTAGAATTGCAGCTCGAGAAAAGATGGCCTGTGCAAGCAAACGCTCGAAAACTGTCATTCCCCTTCGTGCCAGTGCCAAGTTAAGAGTGCCATAATTTAATCTGGATCAGGCCTGATTTCGAAAGGTCAGGTCACCTGAGTTCCTTTCAGTGAAGCGGCGACTCAAAGAACGTTTTCGGCCTCTAACTCACTATCAGCATCGCATTAGACTATCAAACGATTGAGGTTAGCTCAGCCTTGGCCTCGCTTCGCTTGGCTCCACATAGCCTTGCTGCTATTTGCCTGGAGAGGGTGCGACGTGCTCTCTCCATTTCCGACCAGCTCAGCTCCGTTCAGCTCAGTGCAGCTGAAGCATTCTCGATCGAGAGAGAGAGGAGGAAGGCAGAGTGAGGGAGGAGTCGAGCTCCCGCAAATTGGGACGCAGACATGGCTTCAGTTTTTACAATTCCCGCTTCTTGTGCGAATTGCACAGCAGGCCCTGCGTCATCAAGGGCTGCTTCCACCTCTCCTCGAACCCAATGTACCCTCAAAAGCTTGGGTATGTCGGTCTCTCTCCTTCCCCGTTTTCGCTTCTTCCTCTGTCCTGTTTCGTGACGATGGTCGCCATCCTGCGTGCCTGACTTTGTGGTTTCGAATAACATGCTTCTGGGCAGATGCACAGTAGATCCAACCTTGGGAATTTTGGGCGTTCAGGAGTGATTCACCGTTGGCTCAGAGCCCTTGTCGTAGTTCGTCATGTACCTTCTTCCCGGGCCATTGATCGACGGGTTCTGGATCATGACAGTTCTTTGTCATGTGCGTTGTTTTTATTCAATGCTACTGAGCCATAAGTTGTCCGAGTGAAAGAATTGGAACGTTGCCCACTAGGATCTTGCAGATTAGACATGTGGGCCGGGAAGTTGGGAAGCAGTGCATGCCCGTCGAAAGTCAGGCGAATGATCCGAAGCCTTCTTTTCTTATTCTCTACCATGGTCAGCGATCATTTGATTTCAGACCTTTGGAAGGCTGGGGGGTCTGAGTAGGCCTTCCGCCTCAACTTCCTGCTCCGACGGCCTGAAACACGGATCCTCTGGTTGATTTTGTTTGTCCAGAATGAATTTTGGACTGTCAGTAGTTCTTCTTGAGATTAGTAGACGTCGCTGCATCTTCGCAGCGTGCTTGAATCCAGTCAGAACGAATGTTGTCAAACTTTCCTGAACTCAGGCGTGGTCATTTTAATAAACAACTGTCACTCAGGCCCTGTTTCTTGTCTAGTCTCATAAGGATACCACTTTCGTCGTTATCATCTTTCAAACTTGCTCACTGTTGCAGACACGAAGAAATTCCGACAGATGGTCGCACTGCCGAGTGTGCAGCCAAGGAGCCAGAGGTCCTTTGCTGGAAAGGTTTATGCGACGGCTATGGTTGTCAAGGGTGCTGAAACGTAAGTTGAAATTACGTTATATCGTGTCGTTGAGGTTCGAAAGACTAAATTATTCAGTCCTTCTTGATGTTGACTTTCTTGATGTTTGACGGTGGAGGCCTTCAGGTTACCCTTGTAGGGAAGAGACTGCCTTTGGTCGAATATTAGAGTGTAAGCTGAATCATGTAACAATATGACGAGGTTAGGGGCGCTGATAAACTTTTTTCCGTCAGTCAAGCGAGCAGATATTGAGGTGAAGGCAAAGAAACACAACAAAGCCTAGTCATCGTTCATATTGGACTCGACGGGTTTGGTCTCCACAACTAGTGGAGTACTGACGAGGAAATCAGTACAACAGGCAGCCGCACTCAAGAAGCATATTATACGTCAGGTGCTTCTGAGTAGCTGACATATAATGGAAAGAGGAGCTAGATCATAATCTTCAACTAAATATGTGCAGACCTTTTGGCAAGACTAATGTTTGTCATTTTTACGCAACAGATACGCCTTACCAACATGGGCAGACTTTGAAATGGGGTCCTCCTGCGTCTTCTGGGAGACTCAAAATGGCCACCCTCCGACAGCTGTGAGTTTTTCCTGATTTCCATAGTATACATGAAAACTGCAGAAAGTAAAGGCTTGATCAACCAAGTCGGCAAGGTTGGCTAGCCCTGCTTGCGTTTTCTTTGTGATAAAGTATATATTTGTATATATCGAGCCCATCAACTGCATTAGCTTTTCGGCACATTAGTCACTGTGCCTGTCCTGTCCTCTCCGGCTTCTTGCGAGTCTATCCTTTTGCTTCAGACATCCTTGTCCCGGCCATGACATGATTTAAAATAACTGTATTTTTCTTCGTGATTTTGATACCGAGATTCTACTAAGTATGCTCTATCATAGATCTCAGTCATAGGTGCCTGTTCCTGAGATCTATAATTATAACATAAGACTGGAGGAAAAGTGCAAAATTGGTCTACGAAGATGTAGAGAGTGAGGATCTGGAAAGCTACATTGAGTCGAAACTTCCTTTGTTCTTCGGAGCCAATCGCTGTCCTAACCTTGTCCTTGAAAACGTCAGGGGGAGCTTCTCACAATATTCTTCAATCCTGCCGGGAGCAATCTGGTACCTAGGACCGAATACGGCATTGGGTTTAATGGTTTGTTCTTCACATCTTTCTCTTCTACTTCACTCTACACCGTTTTTGAGAGATTATCATTAAAACCTAGCAGGGTTGACCAGTGTGAAACATCAAATGGTTGCTAACATGATTTGGCAGTAGCATTGCCGTAACTTATCTTCCTCATTTGGAACATTACTTCTGTAGATCAGAGACTTATCTGGTCGTATTACACCTGCAGGGACAACTATCTGTCGAGCTCAACTCACTTCTGTAGATGTAATAGTCACTACATGTATAGTAGCACTATATTTTGTATTGACCTATACAAATTGCGTTTTTCTTAATAACAGGAGGATTCAATCAACCAATCATGTGTGGTGGGGAGCCCAGAATCATGACCAAAAAGGAGCGTGGTGCTAGATGTGAACCTTTTTATGTAATTAAGATCAACGTGCCTGAACATGGTGAGGGTTCTCTCTCTATCAGTGAACTTGTTTCACATGACACGAACGTGTAACGTAGCTCCTGATATGAGTTTTTCGTCCCGCCCCATACGCAAAGTTGTTTCTGATGGAAGTTTGGCTATGTTATAATTCTTGCACTTTTTTTTTACAGCTCTCTCTTTAGAGTTCTCCTTTACTGACGGCGCGAGTTGGGATGGGCCATACAAACTGAAATTTGTGACCCCTGCCAAGTGGAAGAATGAACCTGTGAGCTTCTTCAATGAGGTACAGTTTTCTGGCACAATGCTGAAAGTGGTTTCTCCACACTTTCTGGGCTCGTCAATAGAAGCTATGCCAGTTGAAAAAGCCAGCTATACATGTTATCATGTTGGACAACAGGATATAATGAACTCTACTCTGGGGGAGACAGCTTATCATGATAGAGTGCCCACAAAATGTTAAGCTGAAATTGTTACCTTCATTTGGGCACTATGAGAAATTGCTTGTTATAAGCCCTCACTGAGGGTTCGAATTCACACGTTCTTTATCAAATGGTGAATGACGATGCTTCAGTTTATGGTCAGGCTAGAACTGACCACACAAATTGACTGACACAAATTACTTCTCTACTTTCACCCCTGGGGACTATTGAAGATATTTGCTGGCTTTCATTGTCATATCGTCTAGTGATGTGACAATGAAGGCACAAAAGTCCTCGTTTTACTCTAAACGTAGTTTGTTTACTCGATTTTTGAGATTCTAGTCATCATAACAGTTAAACATTTACGAGGGCTTTCTTTGTTAACGTATAGCATATTAAACTTATCTGCAGCAAAGCTTGCAACTGAATAGCAAAAGTATGCGGTGAGCTAATTCTCGATGACTGGGAAGAGTACTTATGCTAACATACAGTGGACTGAATATTGCTTTCATTCGTAGTGGTAGTACTGACCTTAATATTCTTGCGTTACAGGGTCTCGCCCAGGCCCTCGCACACGAAGGAGCTTGTGAAAGTGCAATCTACCCCGAACCAACTTTCGTCCAGGATCGCTGCTCTTTTCCGGCCAATTTGACAATTGAAGGGGTAACGTACTCCTCTACTGGATTTTCATTCCGTTTTACACTTTTGTAACCTCGTATTTTATCAGGTATTGCTAGAAGCAAATAAAGCATTGGTGACAAACCTCATCACATGTTCTGTTCATGCAGGGTGACCGTTGCGAGCTTGATCTAGTGCCTGGGTGTACTGATCCAGAGAACCCATTTTACAACCCATTGGCTAATGTCGAGGACGGTTCCTGCCCATACATAAGTGACAGCGATTCTGAATGAGTTTCTGGACAATTGTAAATGCCCTTCCATTATTAGTCGACAGACCTTTCCGATAGAACGTGACTGATCGGAGCTATTAAGTACTCAGGTACTTCGAGATTGTTTCCAAGAAGGCCTTTCTGAGATTTAGCAAGCAACTTGATATCTGTTATATTAATTCACTTCTAAGGTGGTGTACATTAGTGCTTAAGAGTATCTTGACGGGACACAGATCGTCAGTTCTAGTAGGATAGATGTTTATATCATTTGACCCTGATCTACATGCGTGCGAAGCTGGGTTCAACAAAGCTTTAGGTTTCATGACACTTATCTACGATCTCCCCCCTGCCCTTGTCATATCTTGAGAACGCAAGGCACGGAGTTCCCAGACTTTGTTGCTGTACATAGCTGGTTGGACTCGTCTGGATTTCATGTCACTGTGATGTTTTGGGTTGTTGTGTTTATTACTTTGTACCTGTCTTTTTATCGATGACTATTCTCGAGAAGATAGTTCTAGCAAGTTTTCTTAGATTTCAGGAAGTAAGACACCACACTTGACATTGTCCACATCGTCCATAGAACGATTCTAAGAACGAATCGTTAATTGGGAAGGAGCCGTTTTCCGCTTTCCTGCTTTGTTTTACCGTGATGCCCTCTTAACTTCAAACAGGGTTACTGAGTGCGTTCTGCTTTTCATGTTCTTAGAGCTCCGAGCGGGCTTGATGCGAGTTATTATGAAGTGTATTTAAGGTATGCCAACTCCTTAAAACGGTAAATACCACGCAGTCCAGTCCACATGTGAAGAAAAACTGAAAAAAAATGAAATCTGCAGCCCGCCTGTGAGTCAGTGGGTTTCCTAAGATCTGAAGCCCTTGATGTCACACACACTGACTATGAACACACAGTTCCCTAGGAGATGTGACATCATATACCCAGACGAGAGAGTCTCTTGAAGGTCAGCTGCAAGATCGTAGTGTTGGAAGGGAGGTCCCGACGACACTGCGCTTCCCTTCATGCCTGAACACGTTTGTTCTTCGAACCCCTCTAGCGAATTTGGAAATGTGATGATGAAGGGAGATGATGGGTTTAACTTTCGGAAACACGAGTAGCATGACAACCGTTGTGAGTTGTATTTCGTCAAGAGAAAAGAAATGATGATCAACTCCATTAAAATTTAGAAATTGACTGCAATGGTACAGAAAGAATTATGTATGCGGAATGTGCCGGGAAGAAATTATCAATTTGTGTCATTAGGGGTGTGTTAGACACTCTTCACTATCAAAAATAGGTCAAATGTATGTCTGGAAATGATACGATAAAACTTAATATAAGAACAATCCATTTTCGCCCTTGGTAAAGGCTTTATCTCCCTGGACCCCGACGATAAAATCCTCCGCATGTCGAACATAATAAATGTTACGAGGATTAACCTTGTATTCAAAAAGGCTAACCCCCTGCGCTTGAGGTCTTTTCTTAAGTCCCTGTTGGCTCTCAGTTTTTTTCTGATGCTCCATTCTTGTTTTTTTTGCTAACGTTAGCAATTTACGTCTTTCGCTTACGTACACCTTATTGGTTATTTTTCCCTAGGGCACCTGATGTTTTTTTTTGAGATCGATCATGAACACGTCCAGATGATGCATGGCTACGTTGAATAGGAAGGGACAAGTTTTTGGATTTCAAGTATACAATACTGCATATATATTTTTGTGTTTGTGGTTAGGAAATGCGAAAAACAATACGACAGAAAGTTCTGTGTGCCATGTTTTTTTCTCATCAGGCTTGGGTTTCAATACCTTCACTCGTTATGTCTATAGCAACGTGTGATACTCAATGTCAACGGTCTCAGCGGTATTTTGGAAGCCATCTGTAGATTTGTCGACTGAGCAAATTTTGGTTTCACTACCTTCAGTCGTTTCCTACAGCGATGTGAAATATTCCGTATCTACGGTGTCATAGGTGATTGAGGTGCCATGTGTAGATTTATCATCTCGAGTTAAAAGAAATCATCACGGATGTTTTCGTTGATAGTGAGAATCATGAGAAGGGTTTCAAGTGATTCAATTTATGGTCTATTGTTCTTTGAGACTGGATTACCATGTACAGTTATTTTACAGTTATTTTTACATGATATTATATTCATTTATTCATTTTTCATATTGATGTGTAATTACATCGAGGGATTCATATGGGCTTTATTTATAATATTTCACAATGATTTTTAGCTTATGCTACAGCGGTAATGATCATGAAATGCTTTAGCTGTTGCTTGAGTGTCACAGTTTAGGATCTCACAGAAGCTTAGAGGGTCTAAGAGTTGCTCAAGCTTATAATCTTCCTCTATGGTTAATTAAACTAATCATGAAGATTATTTATGTTTTGCTCAATAGACATCCATCCATCTACAAATGAGTATCAAAAGAACAATTGCAATAGAGTTTTTATTAAATGAGGAAGATGAGGTATGTTTCATTGTAATAGGCAAAACGTTTTTGCATATTTTATTGGAGATGTCACATTTTTAATCATTAAAATTGTCATGACCTGTTTTTATCATATTAGAGATTTTTATATGAGAAGTATTTATTTAATATTATTTGTGAGAGTATAGATTGATCTTACATTTGGCCAAATGCTATTGGTATTATACAATTGTCATTCAATCAAGTGTTAGTTGGCTTTTCTCCATTTGGTATGACAAAGGATGCATTCGACCACCATGAATGATTGTGAACTTGTCTTGTATTTGTATTGTCATCTACTAGTATTATTTCTAATGCTTGTCACATTTTTGTTTTTATCTTTATTACTTTTTCTGAACACGGTTTGATTGTGGTGTGATGTTATTAAATATCAAAGAAGATTTCATTTGACCACTCAACTCTAATATTTTTCATATATTCATCTAAATTTTTTAATGTTATTATTTATTCACGTGAGATTTCACAGCCTTTGATGATGGAAGGATGATGTGAATCTTTATTGATATATTATTAGACGATATACACTAGATTTTGTATTGCTCTAGACATGATTTCCGATTAAATTTGAAATATAAAATTTTATCAATGAAAGATATGACGGATATAGTACAATTAAATAGCTGAACACTATCAAAATCTTTGATGTACTTCTTGATAAAAATTGTGAATAGATTCACACCTAATTTGTGAAGAAAAGACTGAAATAATTTTACAGTTTTAGCATGTCAAATAAGAATTCATATTTTGTTCTTGTAGTCAAAACATGAGTTATCATTTTTTTCTCTTTTTTCAAAATTTCATCTAGAAATCTACAATCTATATGTTTCTATTTGTAGTTTCAGCAAGCCCTACATTATACTCTGTGAATGTGGACAATTATCTTCACGCTGAAGTTGTTAAAAACCTTTGTTGAGAAGATTACGTAGGTCAATATATCTTGTCTCAACTAGGTTTCGGAAGTATACATGTATAATCCATTTCATTATACAAATTATACATATATAGTATATGTATATTATACAATGTCTAAAAAAACCTTACACGGAACTTACACTTACGATTTTTACAACTTGTAAAACACGACAATGAACTACTTCTATGTATGCTTCCTTATGATTTAGGCATTTAATTTCTATGGATCTTCCTACTGCCTACATAATTCTACTCTCTCCGTTCTTGAGAGTCATGCAGATGCAGCTGCTTCTGTAGCGTGCGTGACTGGCTGCATGATGCAGTCAACTAGTCAGATGCCTAGAGCATGACTCATTCTCTAGGCATCTAGCTGTCTGGCTAGGAAAACCAACCTTCCCTGTTCGCAAGTATACATGTATAATGCATTTCATTATACAAATTATACATGTATAAAGTGTATAATTATTATACATGTATAGGTATAGGGCAAATCCTAGTCTCAACCATCAATTCAGATTTTCTGGCTCACGATTTCCTTTTCTGCGATAATTATTCCGCATTAATTTGTTTCACCCATATGCAACATTCTTAATCACATGTGAAAATGCAAAATTACATTTGATGCATCGACGTATTATGACTCATTTAAAAATACATAGAATGACTAACTATGATTATTCTAGTAAAAAAATATAGTTATACATTTTGTCAAAGAAATGTGATTTTGAAATGATCCAAAAATTAATGATATCACTCAATCGATCTCACGGCTGATTTGGATTGTAATCACAAATAATTACCAACATAGAGTAAAATGGTAAAGATCCGATCCCACGAGTACTAAAACAACACTAGAGAATCAAGTAGTGTCACAAATTAATATTCTATCAAAAAGTTTTACTTTTTAGTCACATGTCACTCCCAGAAGAGACTCCAATGGCTACGGCCGATGACGACACATTGCAGAATGAAATCACACTCGAATCTTGATATTAATCCAATAAGTTTCCATAGAAGCCGCACTCGACTTTGCAATTGATATAAGGAGGGGAGGGGGGAATTTTCCAAGATTACACACTTAGCCAGCTGCACCAAGCTCCCAATGTACATATTTGCTTAAATCTTGAGCTACACTATGCACCACTCAGAACATCTGAATTGGACTCTCTACTACTTCAGATGCAGTATCTTCGAAAAACAAAAGCAATTCGCGCACGGTGACAAAACGCATAATTCACTAACGCGCGGAGGAATGCAGACTGAAGACTGCGAATTTAACTAAGGGAGCCGCTAGTCACCATTCACTTTTCGCTATTCATCACTCACCCTCAATTTTCAAATCGTTGAAAAGCGCGTTCAAAATACCACTTACATCACCATGGATCGTTATCAAGAACTTATCAGAGCAACCTATGCTAGTCTAAAAACTGCCAGCGCGGCTCTAATTTCCTAACTTAGTGATAGTGACTAGCGGCTCCCTTTTAATAGTGCTTTTCATCCAGAAAATTGGAGCGCGAGAAAAGTGCGCAGGGGTTTTTTAAAATTGGGACTGAGTGGTGAATAGCGGAAAGTGAGTGGTGACTAGCAGCTCCCTTAACTAATGGAAAAGCCCCTGAAGGCAGAATCTTGAATCTTTTTATTTACAACTACCTTGAGTCATCACCCGCTAGTTGCGAGCCCGCATCAAGTGTGATGCCAGCAGATGCGGTAGTTGTCACGCCCACTGAGATCCTATCTCCTGTCTACTCCTATACTACTCAAAACGGCTGACAATTCTAATTCCAAGTTCTCCTTTGTCTCCTCCAAACCAGAGATGAACGAATTGAGCTTCCTACTTAACTGCATATGTCTTTTGACCCCGATGGCTATCACTTTTTTCACTCGGTGCTCAAGTTCACTTACTTTCATCCACCTCAGGGTCTGGATCTCCCACTCCACATAACTACAAAGACATCGGTCTACCTTTGCGCAGAACGCAACATCCGTCCGCTGTTTTAACTGCTGGACTATCGCCTCCGTCTTCAACAATTTTGCTTGAGCTATGATCAACTGCCTCTCAACTACCTAAAGTTGAGATTGCAATTCGTTGCAATCCGCATCTAATTTCTCCCTACGCTCTAACTACGAAGACCGATCAACTTCGCAATCCTGCAACTCCTTCGCCTTCAGTGCCAACTCAACAA